TTTAGCTCTGTAACCTTAAACAAAAATAGATAACTTTTTATTCATAACAAGCCTGAGGGAAGGGAATCTTCACTCTCCTCAGAGACCACACCTGGATTGGCACAGCCTCTTCTGGCCTTGCTAGTAGAAGACAGACTGGAGTGGGCCCAGCCTTGGGGGTACAGGGCTGCCAAGCTGCTGGCTGGGCCATGTGGTGCATGAGGAGGTGAAGAAGCATCTTCATCCTGGAGAGGAAAGAGTAAAGGGTGGGATCTTATCGATGTCTACAGGTAACCAGTGAAAAGCTGAGGGAAAATGGACCCAGAGTCATCCTGGAGAAGCAGCAGGTGAAGGACAAAAGGCAAGGACCCAAACTGTAACAAGATAAGTTAAAGTTAGATCTGAGGAGAAATTAGTCCTCCACCGAGGTATTCAGATGCTGGGACGGGGGTCCAGAGAGGATGTGGGATTTTCACCCTTGGGATTTTCACCCTTGGGGGCATTCCAGATTTGACAGGAGCAAGGCACTGAGCAATCTGACAGAGCTGAACCTGTTCTGAGCAGGTGTTGGGATGAGCTCACCTCCAGGTGTCCCTTGCAGTCTGTGTATCACTTGGCTGTGTTCAGGTGCACTCATGATTTGCAGCAGCCAAAACATAAAGGAAAAATTCAGTTTTTAATTTTCTACTGAAACCAATGCTGTGTTTTTGTTCAGATACCGAGATTTCATTTTCCTCGTGGTTGGTAAAATAGTCCTGGATAAAGGCTTCTCCTTCATAGGAATTTGACAGCTTGGGTAAATGGGAGTTCAAAGCCTCAGGAGTATTGGGTGAGGGGAAAGTGACCAGAAGAGCAGTATGGAAAAAAGAATACATACATGAAAGAGGAAGGTTAATCACTGACATATTGTGCACTATGCTCAGTATTTGCCTTTTACATTTTCAGCAAAAACATGTACTTCAGTAAGGACTATTCTCCTTGCAGTGGCAGTGGCAGGGAGACTGTCACCAGGGTTTTATTTGCTTACAGTCAAGAAAGACCGATGTTCATCCTTCTGTTACTTTGTTCTGCCTCTCAGAAGCCTTAGTTAAAGATTCTTTCCACTGTGCTGTCTCTGTTATTAAGCTTCCAAATAAAATACATTAGTGGAAGGCTTTATAAACAAAAGAGAGAATTACAAGAGTAGGAGGAACAGAAATGAATCACAGCTTTCTAGCTTTTTTATGTTGACAACTTATGTTCCCAGGCAAGTACATAATAAAAGAAGCATTTACACTGCATAAACTCCACAATAACCCCGTGGGTGTCCTAAATCAAAATGTTGCTAAATCAAAACTTTGTGATGTGCCTAAGTAGTGACTCATGTATATGCCTTCGGTTGTTTACTGATGTTTATGAATCTAGTCCCCATGGCAAAAAGCACGTGAAACACTCTCAAGACCTCCTCAATCAGGGAGTAAACAGTGCTTCAAAATGAATTGTTTACTAAGTTCTTCCACATGAAAAGTTACCTCTGATTATCCAGCCAGCTACTAGGGCTGATGATTGCTACCTCTCGGTGCTAACCTGTTCCCATTTTGTTGTTTTGTGCTGCAGCCCTTGAGCTCTGTGCAGCCTGCCTGCCTCTCCTTGCAGCACAGTGCAGCAGCTCTGAGACTGCATGTGCCCGGGTGTCCTTCTGCTGCAACTTCTGTGCCTTCCCTGGCTTCAGGACATGAGTTTGGATTTGAACAACCACATTGCCACCAGGATGTGTCATGGATGGCATTGGATGCAAATATTTGAGATGTGAAGGGGCACCATAACTGCCTTCTGCCATGAGCAGAAGTGTAGTCACAAAGTGTGGTCACTTTGCCATAATTACTCAGACAATGCTTCTCACTCTGAGGTTCCATGTGAAGCTTGACTGGCTCCTGACCAATTTGGGGTGGTCAAAGCTTCTATGCAGAGTAGCACTTTAGATGTGCATAGGCACTCGCCAAGCCTTTCATTCAAACAGCACATAGGAATTTTTTAGCATGTGGTTGATTTCTCATTATTGATTTTATAATCGTTATGTGCCCTTGGACATTCACACTCAGCCCTGCCCTTTTGTTAAGGAATTAGCATACCAAACCGCAGAACTGAAGGTGATAATACCACACCCTGCAACAGAATTGGTTAAGTTACAAGGTCAGAGACTTTTTGAAAATTTTACTGGGGAAATGAAATAAAGCATTCTGAAGGGAAAGCACGTGGTAAAGGACTCTGGTCTTTTGAGCATACTGTTTCATACTGTTGCATGAAAAGTTTAAATTTGTTAGAGAGGGGAGAACTGATCCCTCTCTGCTCCAACATGTGATAAAAGTACTGGGAGTGTGTGGGAAGTGGTGGGCCTCCTTACAGTGCCCAAGAAGGAGCTGATACTGTGTTGGCCTTCTCCCAAATTATTGTTATTAGTTCCCAAATTTAAAGATCAGGCCTGAGACAAAAAAAATCTTGGAACCAAAAAACCCTCAGCTTACAAGCTCAAGTATCAAAAATAATTGTGTTAATTATCTAATATTAGATAATGTTAAACTTCACAGAAGGAAAGCGTTGCCTCCAAGAACACATTGGAAATCATGGATGATCTGCTTGACTCCCTGCGTGCTGAAAGATTGCATGTATTCCCCCACAGAGCCTGATTGTCCTGCAGTTTTTGGACTCAAGAGGTGCTGGAGGGAATGAACTTCATAAAGGGATATTAACTAGATTTATGAATAGCAGCTGCCCCTTACAGGAGTTTCAGCATGCTTTCCTCTTCCTTTCTTTTTTTTTTTCTATCTACTAGACTGGAGCAGGAGAGGAAAGGTCCCAGTGCGGTGGTTCTGGTCTATTGCCTTGAGATATGTGGTGTCTCTCAGAGGCTGGATAAGCTGAATGTCTCAAACCAGTGCTGGTGTGTGGTTAAGGACAGGTCAGGCCTTGCTTCTGGGGAGACAGTGCCCCACCCCCAGCCTGGCTGTGCTGTCAATCAATCAATCAATCAATCACTACAGGCCGTGCTAAATCAGCTCCTGATTCTTTCCAGCTGTAGACAGGGAAGGGTTAAAAGAAAGATTTAAGCTGGAGAACCACTGAAGGGCTTGGTTAAGTTGAAAGGGCTTGTGGTCTGAAATCATGACCCCCAAAATGATATGCTGAGGAGATTGGCATGAATGAGTGTTATTTTCTCTTTGACTCCCACCCCGAAGCAATCCAGATAATTTTAATAGTAGAATTGCACTGTATGTAATTTTCCATGATGTCCACTGACCTTTTCTCTCTCCCTGAGTATGGGTTCTGGGAATCTCCCTGAAACCTGCTTGGTGGGAGGGATAAGGGTGGTGATCTGGGATGTGTGTATTTGTTGGTGTTGTAGGGATACTGGACATGTAAGATTGTGGGGATCAAAAGGCAAGATGGCCTAAACTGAATTTGCTAAGCTATTTTTGGAACTCAGCTTACAAGTGCAACAAGTATCACAAGTAGTTGTGTAAATTATCTAATGTTAGAGAATGCTGAACCTCAAAGTAGGAAAGTGATGCCCCCAGGAGCACAGGGAATCACAGATGATCTGCTGAATTTCCTTAGGTGCTAAAAGACTGATGCATGAACTCGCCCCCTGGAGCCTGATTATCCTGTGATTTTTGGACTCATGGGATGGTGGGGGGGGAATGAACTGCATAAAAATATGTTAATTAGTTTTACCTGTGATTTTTGGACTCATGGGATGGTGGGGGGGATGAACTGCATAAAAAGATGTTAATTAGTTTTTTTGGTATAGCAATTGCCCATTATATGAGTTTCAATATGCTTTCCTCTTCTTTCCTTTCTGCTCTACCTGCTAGATGGGACCCTGATTAGACCAAAAGAGGAAAGGTCTCAGTGCATTGGTCCTGGTTGATGTCTTGAGACGCAGGATCCTTGTCAGAGACTGGATCAGTTTAGTGTTCTGAGCCACTTTTTGGGGTGCTTGAAATGCTTGCTTGTGTGCTGCTAGGTGAGATGGTGCCCTGCCCACTTTTTGGGGTGCTTGAAATGCTTGCTTGTGTGCTGCTAGGTGAGGTGGTGCCCTGCCCTGGCCCCAGACCCTTGGCAGAGCTGTCAATCAAGATGGTGCCCTGCCCTGGCCCCAGACCCCCTCAGCCCTGGCAGAGCTGTCAATCAATCAGTCAATCAATCACTGACATGGGGGGATGGTGCTAACCCAGCCCCTGACTGGCGAAACGACTGGAGGTCTCTCCGTAGGGGAAAGGCCCATGGAGGCTTAACAGATGGAGCACAAGGCCAGCACATGGTCTTGACCCTGCCAGCTTCCTGGAGTTCCTATGTCACCCACAATGGAATCCTAGGAGGTGCTAGCTCTACGTGTGTTCTTATAAATCTCTTCTGTCTTTCTGTCTTTCTCTGTCTCTCTTTCTTATCCTAATTCTCTTTTCATCAAACTTTGTGGGTGACGTAAGATCTCATAAGTTTAAAGGTTTCTAGGTGAAATGGCCTAAGTAAATGCTAAGTGCTAAATTAATGCTAAGTAATGCTATGTTAAGTGAATATGGTGTCATATTTAATCTTTTTGCCAAAGTCCCTTTATTTTCTATGTTTTTGCCAGTAAGCTTTTGTGTGATTTTTCACCTCTTGAGAGTATCTGGTTGGGATTTCTCTTTGTGCCAACTAGTGTAAAGGAACTTACAATTTAATTCCTGGATTAAGTGTTTGGGGTGTAACAGGGGTGAAGTAGGAGCCTTACAGCTGCTGTGACATGCCCCCATGGTTGACTCACACAGGTATAACACAGATACTCTGACAAACAGTAACAATTGGTCAGCTTGGCTTCTGCTTTGCAATGGCTACTTACACTCAGCCAGTAGTGGTATTTATTGAGGATTCCTATGAATTATTACATAATTTTTAAAACTAGTCATAGACCCATACTTGGAATGTTGTTTCTGACACAGGGACTGCTTTCCAGAAAAATTAGCCTGCATCCACATTCAGTGGGAAGCTACTGCATTCTTGATCTAAGAAACAAAACCAGGAAGTTGTACAAAACCAGGCTTTGATGGCTGGGTACAGTCCAGTCCCCAAGAAGTGACTCCATATTGGACAAATTTGTTGTTCACTTGGCAGACCAGGGATCCTCCAACTTCAGCCTAGGGAGGAAAAGACAGTATTAGTAATGGGGACACTAGTCATGCAAAGAGCAAAATACTGGCAGGAATAATATTGTAGCTCCAAAGGCTTTAAAATGTGATTGACACAAGGACTGTAGAGAGAGAAAGTTTTTTATTAGACCTGCTGGAATAAAAGAATTGGGGGTAAAAAAAACTAAGCATTCAGGCCATGCTCTTGGTCTGAAGATCCACCAGTCATGGATGTGAGTACCTCCCCAGATCACTGTGAGGTCAATTACACACACAAAAATGGAACTTTCCTAATTTTCCATATCCCCAATCTACTTGATCTGGACAAAAATAATTTAACTGTTTGAATGCTTTAAATTCCTTGAAATGCAGGCATAGCAGGATATGAATACCTGTGTCTGATGATTTTTGACTCTACCAATGAACACAATGCCCACAGTCTCTAAGTGCAGGCAGTATATTACAGGCTTTGCTTCAGGTGAGTGGGATATTCACAACACTGGGCTAATATGAGTAAGATATTACCTTACACAGTTTTCCTGCTTTTCTGGTTGACAGTGTGAGTTAAGAAAAAAGAAATGCTGTGTATACCTCAGTTCTTAGGCTTCATGCAGAAATGTTGAGTTCTGAAACTATTTCTAAGCCTTGAAAGTCCAAATTATATGCATTTATCTGCTTATAGTCAAGATTTTTGCTAATTTGGTATCAGTAAGCACTTTCATGAGAGAACCATATTTCACCAGCCAGTTAGACTGAAGGAGCAACTTTTGCTTCCAAGGACTTTGCTACACATGCTTCTTTTCTGTTGCATGTAAGAGGAGCACCCAACTCAACTTAGGAATGTGTCTTTTTTTCAACCCTGCCACCTTGCTTTGCAAAATAAGTAACTCAGGCAAAGCTCCACTATACTTTAAGAAATGTCATATCACTTCGACCAATGTGAGCCATTAATTAAGGAAGTAAGAAAACAGGACAGAGCAAAACCTCATTTATCTAATTTTGCAAAACAAAGCTACCTTTGAACAATACAAGCTAAGGTCACCCTCCTGAAAACATAAAGCACAACACAAGCAAAATTCTTATGATAAATAACAGTCACATATTTCAATAGCACACAGCTAGAGAAATACTAGAAATGTCTGTTTTCCTCTTGTTCACCTAAATGAAAAAGACATCCTTCAAAATGCACTGTAAAATTACATAGGCTACAGGACATATACTAGCTAAAGGGCACTTGCTCTTTAGTTAGGATATGCCCTGTAGCAGTTCAGCAGTACAGATCTGAGAGCTGCAGGAGGGATGTAATTGTTACATTGCAAGCCCAGTCAGTGTCCTGGTTTTGGCTTAGATAGAGTTAATTTTCTTCTTAGTAGCTGGTAGAGTGCTGTGTTTTAGGTTTAATATCAGAATAACAATTACAACACCCTGATATTTTGGTTGTTGTTAAGTAGTGCTTATTCTAACTCAAGGGCTTTTCAGCTTCCCCTTCTCTGCCAGTAAGGAGGTGCACAAGAAGCTGGGCAGAAGCACAGCCAGGACAGCTGACCTGGCCTGGCCACAGGGATGTTCCATCCCATAGAACAACATACATAAGAATTACATACACTGGATGGAGTCACTAATTGCTGCTCAGGGACAGGCTGGGCATTGGTCAGCAATTGTATTGTGCATCACTTTTGTTCCTTGGGTTTTATCTCTCTCCTATGTTTCCATTACAGTTATTACTATTATTATTGCTGCTATTATTATTATAGTTATTGTCCATAATTTTATTTCAATTATTAAACCATTGTTATCTCAAGAGTCTTACTTTTTTTTTAAAATTCTCCTCCCCACCAAAGAAGGGATGGGGGAATGAGTGAGCAGCTGCATGGTACTTAGCTTCTGGCTGTGGTTAAACCATGACACTCAAGAATAATTTTGATAGGTTGCTATTTCCTTTACCCACAGACTCTGCAGGAGGTGACACTTATAGCCAGCTGTTACCAGATGTGGTGGATGTAGTCAAGCCAATGTTTTGTTCCATCATTCCAGGGGAGGCATTTGATGCAGGCTCTTGTGTATGATCATCACACCTCTTGAGATTGCAGTACTCCCATAGCGTGTTGGGGTCAGTGGTGAAACACCACGGGCTGCTGTCACCATCTGGGTTTCTACAATAGTTGTCCCTCAAATCCCTGCACAAATAAAGTCAACAGTCATGCTGCATAAGACTGAAAATAAGCATAGGAATATCTTGACATAAAGATGAACTATGCACATCTACTATGTACAAATAAATAGATTTATTGTTGGTTTTAGTTATGGCCAAGTATCTTCTTACCAGCAAGCACATCTGTGGTTGTGATGCTAGTGAAGAGTTGTATTTCACATGTGCATTGGAGTCTTGAATATATTTACACATAAGGAAACAATTCAACTATTGGCTTATACTCTGGCTGTAATATCTCAATGTACTGAGTACCTAAATAATTGCCCCATATGGCAATTTAAAAAAAAATTTACAAGTAGGTGTGTGTAAGCACATACAATTGTGAATTAGTACAGAATGTGTGAATTAGTAGTAAATATGCGGGAAAATTCATACTATTGAGGGAAACTTAGGCTTTTCCAAAATTTATAGATGTCAAAAGGTTCCTTCTCATATTCAGAAGAATGACATACAAATGTTTATGCAATTGATCCCCTCTTACACCCCAAAACTTAATTTCTGCTGACTTCAGTGAGACCACTCCCGTGTCTGTGCTTGTTTGGGCATGTGGAAGGAGAGCTTCTCTTTTCAATAATTTGCAGAGTTTCATTATTTCCCTCTCCTGAATCACAGCATGGTCTCAGAGTGAAAAAGAACTGCAATGTTTTTTGTCTGAATATGACAGAACACGTGAATTCCACATTTTCCCAGCTCGATTTTAATTTTTTAAAATGTTTTTGAAAGATATCATCCATCCCCTCTGAGGATATTCCAGTTTTTTCATGCTAAAATATAACTGAAAATTTCAATTTATTTAGAGTGACAGCATACAAAGGGAAAAAAATAGAAGAATATGAACCTTCCTATCCACTAAGCATGATGGATTATGGATATCCTCCCAATTGCTCCTGTAATTGTAATCCTCTTGCTCTCCTGCCCTTACTAAAAACTGGAACATTAATGATTTTGCTTGGCTTGTCATTGCTCCAGTCATTCCTGGTACAGTTTTGTTAATCTGAGGAAGATAAATCAAGGGGGGAAATTTCAGTGTACACAATTTTGGGTGCCCAATTCTAACTGCAAAGAACACTTAGTTGTTATATCTAAACATGACATATCTGACTGCGTGTTTTTTATCATAAATGCTGTGTCTCCCCCAGATTAAATCATTAGAAAGGCCACAACAAAAAGTCTCCAATTCATAAACAAAACACATATTTCAGTAGGTGCCTTGTCTCTGGATGCAAGTCTCCTGTTCTTGGTTGCAGAATATCATATTTAAGAGTAAGGGACACAGCTGTATTTGACTCAGAATTTAGATAACAAGAAAACACAATTCTTACAAATGAGACTAACAGAAGGCATTTCTGTATCTTAGGAAAGTTCTCTTTTATCGATATATTCCCTGGCAGTGTTTTAAAGCATAGCTGTGCAAAGGTAATACGGAGAAAGCAAGAAGAGGGGAGATAAACGTACGCGTCCGGGAATCTGTCCGGGGTTTTTATGTGCCTGTGTGGGAACATGGAGCTCCAGGCCTGGCACTTCTTTCCCGAGGCAGTGACTGAAGTTGTACCACGATAACTCTGGCCTTTGTCTCGGTAGCACTCCTCTGTTAGGGGAGCTTGTACAGGCACATCTGTGGCAAACAACAGAAACTGGTCTTTGGCATCATAATTTTAATGTTATTATTGAGCAGGCACAAGAAAGCCTCAAACACAAAGGATGACAAAAATGAATGAAGTCATCACACCTGCAGCAGAAGGGCATTTCCAAAGATACTGAGAAAACTTTCACAGTTTTAACATCTTATGTTAGATGTTTTTCAGTGAAGGGTTCATGAGTTAGTTTCATTTTGGCATAAATGAACATGTCAGAATTAAAGATAACAAAGTTCTCATGCAAAATCCTCAAAGATTAGATACTGGTGATTTTGCCCATTATATTTCTCAAACAGACATTATGTTAAACTTCAGTCTCTCTATTATCCTTTTGATTGTAAGACTTGTTAATTTTGTGCTTAAATGAATGAATGTTTCAATGTGATTTTTAATTGCGTTGAAAGCTCTTGTCCTCTCATTTGTGATTAACTTCCAAAAATAGGAGTTAATTTTGTTTAGCAATTTTTCATCTCTTTAAGCTATTTCATTTTTCAATGAATTTGCTATAATTGGCCTACCTTTGGGAAGAAAGGAATATAAAAACATTAATATCTTTCATCCTGTAATTCTTCTGTCGATTCAGCTTGTGATTTGCATCTTTCACTGTATTTCCCTAACCACTGAAAGTTTAATATTTGTCAGAATTTGCAACATGCCAGGAATGCAAACATTAAGAGTGACAAAGTGACTGAAAAAAAGAAAAATATTTAATACATTTACATTATGAAACAATAAATCTTTCACTGTTTTAAAGTCCTTATCTCAATTACAGTCTACTATTCATACCAGCAATCCCTTGTTCTGCTCTGTCACAGGGAGGAATTGTGCAATATTCCCATCTAATGTTGCTGTTGGTGGTGTAGCACCAAGGCTTCTTCTCTCCATTAGGGTTTCTACAGTGGTTTTCCTCTAAGCCCCTTGAAACAGGAAAGAGGAACACTGACTTTAAACCACTCATCCAGAAGAGTTGTGTGCATGACTATTAACAACTACTGCACACAGAATTCAACTCAGTGGTGTATTTATTCCTTTTGGAGATTGATTGACCCATGCATCACTCCTTTGGGACTAACCAATGGTCTTCAACTTCACGGTCTGAATGCTGAAGATATAGGAAAAACTTTTCCAATGCTTACACTTTCTGCTCTTGTTGTTGAGGTCAAGATGCAGCAGTAAGAGCTGACTTCAAAACACAAGGCACTGATATTCCTGAGATTACAGTAAGAGCCAGGCAAGGCTGGATGTGACAGACTGGAAGTGTTTACAAAGGAGCACTGGTGCATGCTGCTCTCTGCCCTGTGAGAGTGAACAGGGTTTCACTTTTTAGGAAAACTTTCAGGATCAAACTACAGAGCTATAAACCAGGTCAGTCCCAGCTATTCCTGCACATCAGTAATGCTCTGCAAACCCAGTTCCTCTGACCTTGGAGCACAAGGATGTATGGGAATATGTTGTCCTTGGAGCATCACTCTTCAGAGGAGTAATGCATTGAAAAGGTGCCAAAAAAAAAACCACAAAACACAGCTAAGGGATTTTAAACATAAAAGTAGTGAAATAAGTATAGGTCTGCTGTGGGATGTGGAGGAGACAAGTGAGAAAAATACATAAGAATAAAGGGAGGCAGAAAAAAAATGAAGAGCAAGACCTGAACAGAAGTAATGAGCACTGACAAACAGTGAGAATTACAACTTAACAGCATAAATGAGGAAAACCTGTCCTCCTCTTGCCTCTGCATCTGGATCGATAGGGAGTAACTGTTCATTGGTATTTGTTAGAATGCTAAGGCTCAGCGTACTTGCAGGGATATCTGTCAGGAATCCAGCCATGTTTGTGAGGAAACTGCATATTCCAGTGTTGACAGGCATTTCCCGATTCGGTGATGGCTATCCTTCCTCGATAGTCTTCGCCTTTCCCTGAAAGACACTGGGACTCTCGGCCAGAGACTGGTGGGGGTGTAGCTGTAACAGGAAAAGAAAAAAAGAAAAGGAAAGGGAAGGGGAGGAAAATACTGGTAAGTAGTGCTTTCAAAAATATATAAACACCTTTGTTTCTGTAATGTTGAAGATGTATTTTTTTTTTTCTTTCAGCAGAGGTTACACTGGTTAAAAGCCATGTCAAAATCAAAGAGGACATTTTTATAGGCCTCCAGACTGCCAGATGGATGTCCTGTGTTTGCTCTTTTACAGCAGCCAGTAAATAACTTTGCTGGGTTGAGCCAGACTCTGTGCCTACTGTCCCCTGAGAGCAGAACAAGAAAGGCAGCGAGCAGTCTTGTACAGCCTTGTAAACCCAAGTGAGATGGAGTACAGTAATATATACACACAGGTAGCGTGGAAGGGCAGAAAGGACCAAGAAGAAATTGTGAGAGAAAGCAGAGCAGCCCTCAGAGGAACGTCTGCAGTCAGTGATCTAGGGAAGAGGGAGAAAAGGAATAGTGAAAAAAAGAAAGAAAGTGAAATGGTCTGACATGTGGGGAACAGCAAAGAAAACAAGAGTAATGATCAGAGCCATAGAACCTGCAGAGGGCAAATGGAAAATGAATTTACAGCACATACCCATAATATACAGAATTCCCCAAGGACATGAGTATGACCCTAAAAGGTTGGTATGTTCCTTAAACTTTAAGTTTTAAGTGCAGGATGGAAATGCTATGGTAACTGTCACAACTTATGATACAAAAGTCTATAAATAGTTATTCTGCCATCTGTAATTGAGCATGCTAAGAGAACTACACCTAGCAAACACACACCACTGCTTAGAGCACTGGCAAGTGCAGATGCATAAGAAAGCAATCTCTACAGAGAAAAAACACACTTATAATTGTTTTTTCTCGAAGTGCAATCCACTTCTACAGTAGGGAATATTACCTCTTAATTCAGTGTCTTGGAAATATCCAGATTTAGTGTGCTCAACTTAATGGGTTAAGCTAGCTCACTGATAAGTCAGGTTTTACTCCTGAGGCCTGAACCTGTTTCTCAGAATTCATGCCTTGCTATGAAAAAGGCAGTGCTGGCTGTGCAGATCAGATTCAGGTAAAATATCACAGTATAGCCACATGGTAATTTAGATGATTTCTATGAGTTAGCAAATCAGCAGTAAACTACCACCTGATTTAACCTTAATGTCTTGCCTCCCAGGTAAGTTGAAAAGTAAAGTGGTTAAGGGCAAATTATGGTTTCCCATAACATCTTTGGCTATACTGCACTTTGTGACACCTTCATCCTCACTGACCATACATGATTTTACATAATAGAAGTTTAATGAGTGATTCTGCTTATTAATGTGTACTTTCCCTGATTCACAGAGATACCTCTAGGTTACTCAGAACTGTGGTTTCTTTTCTTTCCCCTCCCTGCATAATTTTAATGAGCTACCTCTGGAGTGATCTCAGGAAATCAAACTCACTGCAACGAGGAATGTTGCAATATTCCCAGCGTTTATTCGGGTTGGTAGTGAAACACCAGGGCCGAAGTTCACCATCAGGATTGCGGCAATAATTCATCTTCAGATCCTTGTCTGGATAGCTGTGCATTGAAAATGAAGAGAAGCTTGTGAGTCAGCAACAGCCATGTGTAGCAATGAGGCTCTCTGCAGGCAGGCTCTGTGGGAGTGTCACTCACTGTTTCAGGATAAATCCATGCATATGAGGCTCTTGGACATCCCAGTGCTGGCACTCCAGTCCAGACTCTGTTCTGGAAACTTCTCCGCGGTAATCCTCACCGTTACACTGCATGCACTCCCCCGTAGGTCCTAGGCAGAAGGAAAACGAAGCGAGGAACGCACCAGCCTATTCATGGAAGATTATGCTGAAAGGACAAGTGGGGTTTGCTCCAGCTAACAATGAAAGGAATTCAGGAAACTGTGCATTACAGCCTGGCTAAATCAAAAATGCTTCAGGAATATATTTCACTTGCAGGGAGGAATTTGTCATGTGTCTGCATGCACTGTTAGCAATGGGAGTTCAATGTGTTGCACAGCACTTGGGTCAGTCTTTACCCTTGTTACAATTAAATAAATTACTGGTGTAAGAGCAATATAGTTCTTATCCAGCTCTTTGCAGTTCTTTGCCAGTAGAGTCAAATGTAACAAGGCAGATAAAGCAAACAATATCAGCAAATTTAGTTCTTCCGTATTTACAAAATAACTTTGATAACTCAAGCCAATTAGGAAAACTACCTTTCTGTTGAGAACTTCTTAAGTTCATCTTGATTTAAATACTAATTTGAAAAAAAAACCCTGTTAAAATAAAGCACAAAAAAAAATAGCAGGAATAATATTACCTAATTGAACATCCCTTCTCTGAAAAGTAAATATACCTTCTCCAGTGTGCGTGACCTGGTCCTCACACTCTGGGATGGCACAGTAATCAAATCTCATAGCAGGATCTGTTGTGTAACACCAAGGTCCACTTTCATCTGCATCAGGGTTTCTGCAGTAATTTTCTTCCAACCCTGCATTGGGGTGTTTTTCAGGTGTATAACTGTAATAGTATTAAATTTCTATTTTAATGCTAGTACTTTAGTGGCACAGAAGGGAAACATCTAAGCTGCTCAGCTAGCTGTGAGTTTTATTCATTCACAGTAAAAATGAGGGAAACTGATTTCCCATTGTAAGCCATAAATGAAAACCGAAAAATCATTCCTAACTACAATTATTAGTAGCTTTCTCCCTAGCCCCTGTTTCCAGTAAGAAGTGAGTTTACAGCCTGTAAAGACAATGACAGTCTCAAAGGACAATTGTTGTCTTTAATACGTGCATCCAGTTGATCTAATCAGCTCACTACAACCTGTGGCTCTCTCGTGTGTTTTTCTTAGTGGAGCTGCTTTAAAAGTTGTGTATTTCTAGAGACTATTCACCAAACATAACTGGGTCTCATGGAGATCTGAAGCAAGTGAAGCTAGGCTTCTTCCTACAGCAATCTTCCCAGAGAAGACTAAATTGCTTTTAAATTTTCTGAACAAGAGTATCCGAGTGTATTTAATTAGAATAAAAACAAAATAATTTTTTTTAAATAAAGCTTCAGCATAGATGAGAGGACACAGGACCTCTGCTTCCCCACTTGCTTCAGTGAGCCCAATGGCAGCCAGCCCTGAGAAGACTACCTAGCCAGATCCATTTGGCCCTTGGATACTTTTCTCAATTTTTCGGTTTTTGTTTTTGTTTGGTTTTTTGACTATCTGTATGGCAGGTAGGGGGGGCCTAGAGTTGGACAGATATCACTTTATACAGAGGAGAGTAATGCTGACCCCACTGTTACCAACAGCAAAAATCTTCATTGTGTTGAGAGAAGGAGCATTTAATCTGCTTAAGACACCTCACATATAGACACAACTTCTCTAGCTGACAATGCATAATTTCCTTATCCAGATCATTACAGTAGAGTCAAAAGTAACAAAACAGATAAAGCTGTTTTTACTAGTCACCTGACAACAGGATTTGATAACTTGCACTATATATCTGTATATATATATGAAGATGAGGAAACTTGGAAAAGATTCAGAACAGCAAAAAGAAATGTAAATAGGCACATACTTTGGTTTGTGGGGTATTTTTTCTGCCCACTTCTGGCATGGAATACCCCTCCGAGTCTTGGCTTCTGTTCCTCTGTAGTCTGTCCCAATCCCTCTTTTACACTGCAGGAGGTAAACTGAAATGGAATCAAATTTGTAAATTCAGTGGTGTTACAACATTCATTTCCTGGTACTGAAAATCTGCAGATATAACTAAAGCTCATCTGTACATGATGGATCATGTTTTACTCATGTTTTGAACCTCTTGTGCCTGCAAACATTCTATGATGTATTTGAAAAGAAATTAGTTACAGCTGCTAGGCATCTAAAGAGAAAAATTTCTGAAGCATTGTGATAAAGCTATATAATCAAGATAACAGCTATATGAAGTTTTTGATGTGAAAATAATGCAGGCTTATACTATAATAATACTGGGATAAATAGGAATGTCTTTCCCCAGTAGCTGGGGATTCTTGGAAAGGCATTGTTCATAAACACATTTGCAGTGTGGGTATCATCCAGCTATCCCTTTAAGCCAGAAAATACTGGCTTAGTTATCAAAACACACTTGTCACATAAGTGGCCCCCAAACTTTTGATTCGTCTTGGCCTCAGACTCTCCCAGGTGTTTTTCTAGTGGGATTCCAGGGCAGAGAGTGCAAATCATGTCGATGGTGCTTTTATTGACAACAGACACTGAAAAGTTTCCAGTTATTGAGGTCAGTGATCTTGATTTCCCCTTCCTTTTCCCCATTCTTGTTTGCACAAGGAGAATCTCCCCAAACCTCAAAATATGAAATGGAAGTGTTAGAGCAAGGAGAGGAGACCAATCTGCTAGGAAAAAATGCTTTAGGACTCCTCCTAAATTATTGTAGCCTGTCTAAATAATAAAGCTGGACACATCTGACACCCGGGGAGAGGAGGTGAAGACTATGTAACTGGGTCTGGGAGGAAGGCAAATACCAAGGATGTAGGCCTTGGTATTTGATCCTTCTTGAACAGCATTTTTAGCAGCTTGACTTCTTCCTGTTTGCCCCCCAAATTCTCTATTAGTTTTCTGCCCTATACCGGAATTTGCTCCAGCACTGCAGCAGAGAAGAGAAGGATGCCATTAGAATGGCCTTGATGAGTAAATATGTAACATCTTACTGTACACGTACTTATCTTCTCATAAAGAACTGTGTCTGTGCTGGTGAATGTCACTGTCATTTTAGCATTTTCAGCCAGCGTTAAACACTGTAGCTTTTTCCTGGTAAATAGGAAAGCCCTGTTGAAATTGAGAAGGAAGAAATATTGACACAGGAAGCAATATTTTAAATTCAATTCAAATTATTTAACTCATAAGTATTTTTCTATAAATTATTAATTTTCTAGCACTATCTTATATTCATTCTTATATTTCAGATACTGTACTCAATATTTTAGATGAGTAAGAGGTCAGGGTTATCTACTACTCTCAAGTGGCTCACTTATTCAGGATATATGACAACATGAATAAATTATTGTGTGGGAAACTAGAAACTGCATTGGCAAAACATTATCAACATCATCCTAGCTACTCAGGTTAGTTACTGTCCCTACAATGAACTAGAAACCTTGCACTCTTGTGAAAAATCAGCATCCAGCTAGAGAGGCTCAGTCAGTTCTCCATGTCATGTTGGGCAAGAACAGGAACTTAAACATTTACTATAAAATGAGTAGTATGTTGTAAATCCACTCTTTACGTGATCTTGTGGTAATTTATGGCTGGAGATAAGTCACAAGCTAAAGGCACAGCATGGGAGACACTGCTGTAGGCAGAGCTGCAGCAGAATGGGGATGTGGTTCTGAGTAAAGGTAGGAACATATCATTGATATGCAGACACCCACAATGGCACAGTTTTAAGATTCAACAGAGATTACCTGCAGGTAAAATTTCTTTCAGCTTCACATTTGTCTGCACATTCTTTTTCATTATTTGTCTCATAAAACTGCTTGTTTCGTGTAAGTATCCAAACACCATCTGTTCTTGAATAGTCATCCAGTATATCTGCTTTCACTAGAAGGGAAGGAAAGGAATCAGACCTTATAAATGAGAATTCTGCAGTTTAGAAGATCTCTGGATTTCAGTCCCATTTTCCATGTAGCTTGGACAGGTGGAGACACATTTTATTACATAATTCTGGGTAAAAGATGATAAACTCTGAGGTTATTTCTGACTCCTGACAGAATCACAGCTGAATGACTGCAACATGTCATGGGAAGAAAGAGGCAGAAGAAAGATGTAGAGGCAATTCTGATTAGAGTTATGCATGAGTTTGAAGCTAAAAGCAAAAAATGGGAAACAAGAGTGAGGGGGAACGGAGAGACTAAGTGGTGTCAACACCAATCAGAGAAAGATGAAGGGAAGTGATACCCATATCAAGGTTTTGGAGAAGCATGAATTAGGTGGATGGGAGATTATTGCCTGTCATGCAGATTGTGCAGTCCCTGCAGCTTCATTGGTCACTGTCTAGTTGTTTGTCCCAAGACGTCCTGCCCTTAGAGCAAGACACCTTAATCACAAAGTTACTATACAGCCTTTTACAATGCCCACCATTGTTTTATTGCAATGGGTTGAGCAGACTTAGTAATGAAATTGTCAGGCTACATCTCTGTTGCAACAAATTAACCCAAGATTTTAAATTAGTAAATCAGTTTGTATTATTAGATCTGAAAGTGACATATGCATAAAAATTATATTGTCTACCTGCTAATAATTCTAACACACCTCTCAAATACTGTGGCTCACAATAGAGTTTACCACCTAATTTATTTTTTTATTTTTTTATCTAAAAAGATCCTATGTTTCTGTTTCTAATTTCTACAAGAGTTTATTTCTGTCTCCGGCATCAGGTTACAGTATTGCACAAGTGAGTTTAATTGGTCATATGGTTAAATTATTTCATTTTTTTCAATATAGATTATTATTGACAGATGCAGGAAGTTCATAATTTTTTACCACATGCTCACAGGTAATGTTGGGAATTTTTCATTTACACACTCATATTAGGGCTGAATTTGCTGCAACATCACTCTGGTGTTACTAATTCCCATGACATATGGGCCATTCATCACCTACCTCCATATGACACACATTCACTCAAAATAAAAGATATTTTGGCGACTAATAAAATAAGATTACTCCTTGTCTGAGGGCATTTTCTGTGTCTCTTTGCAGAGTTGGCTCAATGCTATAAAACCTGCATGTCTTAAGAAATCCCTGACACCGAGGCTTCCCATATCTAGTCCTACTGTTACAGCAGGACTATGCAGAGCACCAATAGTCTAGTCTACTAATTTCTCCTGGTGGAGTTAGCAAACAAATGCTTCCTTTCCTGAATTTTTTCCTAACTTAACTGAGGCCACTGTTCCAGGGGACTAGAAAAAGAAAGTACTCCTTTCCAAACTTTGCTTACTCATCTTACAATTCTGTATTTTTTCAAAGAGCTCTACTTTGGATACTATTCCTTTTCAGTGACTATAAGAAAAGAAATTTATTACAGTTGGATTGAGAATGAATACATGGGAATTTGGATGACATGCATAAACTAAAAGTCAACATAGATTGGCAGCAACACAGATAATAGAAAAGAAAAGGTGATGCTGGTTGCCTGAAAAACGCTGCAAAATGTAAACTTAAGAATATAAGAGATTTAAAATGCATCAGGGAATATATTAGTCTGACTAAAATCTATATAAACCCAGATATTTTGCCCAGGATAATCGAACAGAATATTCAAACATGTGAACAAGCAAATTTCTTAATTTCCATAAGCATCTTTCCAGATTTGACCAGTACTAACCTAGAAAAAAGAAAAATAGGCTTTAAGGCAGTTGTGGACCATCACTTTTGAGCAAGTCAGCTAGAGCTGATAACAATGAACAAATAAAATCCCCCACTTTCTCAGTTGTTTTTTATAACCTGGTACAATCAACTTATTATATGTCCCTAGTATTCTGACCTGAACTATTAAAAACTCATAAAAACTGTACTGATATGTATTTATCAGTACTTTTAAAAAGTCATTTAAGTGCCATGCAATTATTTGTAATTTCAAAGTACAAGTGTGGTATCTGATTGAAATTTGATTGAAATATATACTACATATGGAATATTTATTTACAGAATTTGTAGATAAGCTTGAAATCCATATATTACCATCAGTGGAACACCTATCATCTTTTGGAACTGTAAGAAAGAATTCTGGACATATTCCTGGAAAAGGTGATCTAGCTTACTGGGGAATAAATTTCTACCTACTGCCCTCAGGAAAACAAAGGAGAACATTTTATTGTAAGTGTTTGACAACAGAAAATGTGACATTGCTGGAATATAAAGAAGCCTGTTAATTTGTAATTTTGTTTTAAATATTCCATTTCAAAGCTTTAAAACTCCTGTCATAAAGGATGAAAATCAGTATCACTGTGCTTAACAATGTTTGGCAGTAAACACAGCTTTACCTTTAGCATTTGATCCAAAGCCTGCTGAAATTAGAGAGAACTTCTCACTGACTGCTGTGGGTTTTCCACAAGCCTTTGACAGGCTGCTTCCCAAGGGTGTCCCCATCTCTGGCCATGGGAAAGGTTTGCCTGGGGCCATTAGTTGCCCATGCAGACACCAAGGCAGCTGGGCTTCTGGTGTTGCTAATGAACACAACCCTGGGGCAACCACAGCTCTCACTTTGCTCAACAGCAGCTCTTTCTGACCAGCAAGGCCCAAACCCATCATTGTCCAGGAAACAGTGACACATTGATTTAGGGACCTACCTTCAGCTAGTGTTTGGCCCCAGTCTCAATCAGGCAAGCAGGAGGCAAAGGACTCTTACCTGAGCTGAGCAAGAAAAGAAAGAGAAAGGCAGCTTTGCTAATCCCCATTTTGGCCCATCTGGCGGGTGCTGGAAGTTGTGTCTGTTGGTGCACAAAGTTTTATTGACTTGCACTGGACTGAGGCAGCATCAAACAAACAAGGCAGGAGGATTAAGTTAATAATTCTCCTGTGCTGTGCCCCCCCAGCCATGGTGTGGCTATCAAAGCAACCTTGAATTGGATGGATTACCAAATCAGGCTCAATAATTTCTACTGGATACTGGGAAACGTGAAGACACTTTCTTCTTTTGTGGGACATGTTTTCATTTGTGTTTTTTTTTTTTTTTCCCCCTCAGATTGCTTGGCATCACTTTGTTGAGGTAAAGATGAGGATCATAGTGGTGGAAAGTATGGGAACAAGACACAATCCACACACTTAATTCTATGTTGTCCTGGGTATTCAGCTTTAGGTCACAATAGTATTTCTAGTCAGAGACTTGGACTGCTTTAGATTGAAACTGTTGCTGATTTATGCTCCTGTGTAAGTCAGTCCCACAAAACAGAGCCTGATAATGCTAACTCTGTGTCAGAATTGTTTTTAACAGCCTCCAGTGCCCTTTCTGGAGGAAAGAAAATTACTTTTCTCAGCTTTTTTCCATTTCTGGTTTAGTTTTTTGTTGTTCATGACTTGGCAGGTATCATTCACTTTGGCTCAGTGTATGATGTGCCTTTCACCTCCAGGCAAAGCTGCTGATGTCTCAAGTCTGCCCAGACCTCAGGGTTTGTGCAGGGTTTCCCATGCATTTCAGTAACATCTGTCACATCCGTTGGGCCCATGGGGCTCAGCTAAGGCAAGCCAGGCATTGCCAGCCATAGTGCCTTCAGGAGTTTCCACTGGTTTGCCTGGCCAGTCAGGGTAGCCTTTAGCTGGGATTGGGAGGGCAGATGAGAAGGTGGGAGTCCTGCAGATTCCCCTCTGTGGTGGGAGTCCCCTGGGGTAAAGGCAGTGGTGAAAAGGTACATGCCTCCAGAGCACAGGTGGGAAATGCTGAGGAGGCAGTGGGGGAGTGGCCTTTTTGTAGGCTTTTTGCCTCAGCTTTGTCACACTGCAGAGGGCTCTTAGCCAATGTGTGACCTGTGGTGAGAACAGGCAGGAGTGACACTAGTAGGAAAACAAGTCTTTGGTCCTAACTGTTTTGTGGTGAGCTGTGTCTATATGCCAACACATCCACAGCTCATCTGCATCCCAACCTACACAGTCAGGGTCTGAGCACATCATTCAACCTGTATCACATCTGACAGAAGGATATTCGTACAGGAAAGTTCCTACAAGGCTTCAGAAAATCAGTGGTTGAACAGAGAAAAGAACCCAAAATTTCCATGAAGACATTCATGGTGGAAGCAATCACCACTGATTTCTGCTTGGCCAGCCAGCCAGTCGGTACCCTCCAGCCAGCATGTCAGCACGTGCATAGGTGAATCCTGGGGCCAGATGGCTGTGGAAGAGACAGGCTGTTCTCATGGAAGACAGGAGCAGCTCACAGAGACATTATGGGGACATGAATGGGAGGAAGAAGGACTAGAGAACCATTTGGGGGAGGTGGGTAGAAGGGCATGCAGGACCTGAAGATTTCCCAGTTTAATACAGCAGAGAAGTGGGGTTACCAAGAGATGCAGTGGGACATGATGAGCAGGGATGTGAACTACGGGGAGCCAAGCCTTGCTTTTCCTGTCATTGACAGCACTACCTGCTCTGGCCTCATAGCAAATGCCATAGACTACAGATGCAGAAGTCTGAAACCACTCTAGACCTGCTAGCAAGTAGCATGGGAATGTCTTTTCTTTTGGAGTCAATTTAAATCTCAGAACAATCAAAATCAGAGAGATTTTTATGCACATGTTCTAATAGCAACAAATAAAATCATATCTTTGCTGATGAAAACTATACTGCAAAAAAAAAATATACTCCCACTTCACGCTATGTGAGATTTTCTGGGGAACATGCTGTACTGACAATGTCCAGAGGGGTGCAGCAGATGATAGCTTTTGGAAAAAGTGAGTGACATTAAATTCCTAGCATGGAAAAAAATGTCAGACCACACTCAGGATACGTTGTCAGGCGATGTTTCTCCACAAGCTAGCTCATATTGCAGCTCAAGCTTATAACGAAATCTATTGTATGCAAATATGCTTTGCTTTTCTTTCTCAGTTTCCCCTTTTCTTTCCTACCTTAATACAACAGGTTTCAAGTTGATTGGTTTGAACTTACATAAATAGGTTCAAAAGCTTTATTTTCTCAGTGTAATACTCTGGATAGGAAAGACAACATGCAAGAGTGAAATACAGATTAAAAACAGAATGAGAAAGAGTGAGGGGAAAAAAGCCAAATGTAGTATGACTGTAAGGTACTCAAAAACATAATAAAGGTTATGATGCAGTGAAAAATAGAGTCACCTCTTTGGAGCAGAGAAAACCCCACAATTTTGTGAGAAAATAGCACAGTTTTAATCAAAAATAGGAAAATTAGAAGGACAAGAAATTACTAGATTGAAAAGAAAAACTAAATATTGGTAAAACAAATAAATGAGAGTAACTTCAAAATAATGTTCTTAGAATTAATTTGGAAAAACACAGATAAAGAGTTGAACAGTAATGAAAACATACAAAAAAAAAAGTATTTGAATGTCCAGTATTAAATTACAAAATACTTTCTTTAGGCTTGCAGCTTGGAGGAACAAACATTTGTACACGCTTGTTCATTCTATACTTTTGCTAGAGAACATCATGCAGCTCTGCTGCACTGGCTTGGAGTGTGTATTTTCTGGAAGAGTTGAGCAGGGGACTTGTTATTTAACCATGGTGCTACTTCCAGCCACTGATTCACTCAATTCTGCCAGTGGAATCAGGGCTTTTAGACAGGCTTGTGTAAGTTTTAATCACCCTGTACTCGGCACTGGGAGGTCACACCTCAAGTACTGTGTCCAGCTCTGGGCCCCTCACTACAAGAAGGACATTGAGGCCCTGGAACAAGTCCAGAGGAGGGCAATGGAGCTGGTGAAGGGTCTGGGACACAAGTCCTGTGAGGAGCGACTAAGGGAGCTGGCGGTGTTTAGCTGGGAAAAAAGGAGGCTCAGGGAAGACCTGAAATTTTGCTTGCGGAGTTTTTCAGATCTTCACGAATAGAAACGTCAGAAACAGGTTTGATAAACATCTGACAGACATTTTAGATCTGTACATGTTCTTACACTATGATGGTTGAACTCAATCCTTTTCATTGCCTTTTTCTTCTCATTCTGTGAATTAGATTTATGACACTTAAACGATTTCTCAACACAGCTATGGAGCAACTCTCTATAAGCCATTACCAATAATGCTTCTTTCTCTGTTGAATGGCTTTTGCATCTTCTGTCTTCCTTCTCCACTGATACACTCTCAGATTACAGACACAAAGAGAAGAAACACATTTCCAGAACTCCAGACTCATTCACTTAAGAGTTGGGCTTGATGAACCTTGTGGGTCCCCTCCAACTCAGAATATCCTGTGGTTCTTGAAATGCTCACATTCCCACAGCACTGTGTCCATTGGTTATATCTACATGCCCCGCTCAGCTGGCAGGCTGCAGTTCTGTGCTGTGGGTCTGTGGGTCACTCTCAGAGCGCTTTGATTTCCTTTGGGAAAAGTATAGCACACTGAATCCTTGCTCCAGGAAGACTGACTGATCAGAATAACTCCCTTCAAAGAAAGAAAAATCTTTTCCAAATCACTCTGGGAACACACAGAAATCTCCTTTCTCAAGACATCTCCCGTATAAGCCTACAAGCAACATAATTTCATTCAAGTGACAGCTTCCTCTGCCCCAGGGGCACACCAAGCACAGTTGGTTTGCCCCTGCTTTTCACAACATAATTGAAACTTCTGGAGTTACCTCACCTTGACAGCTCTGTTGTTTTCAGCTGGTCTGCCCCCCAGCTATGATGAGAGATGCAATTCAGACTTGTTTAGGCCTGATCCCTGGCCTCTGCCAGTTCTGCAGCTGACGAGGGAGACTTTGTGTCCTGCTGGCATCCACCAAACTGGACTCTGGCTCCCACCCAGCAGCTGCTTCAGTCTCTCATACACCCAGCTTCTCAGCACCAGCACTACAGGCACTACCAGCATGCTCCCAGAACTGCTGAAAGCTCTTTACTTGAAATAGCTAGATAGTAGCATTATCAGATAATAAAATGCTTTAGGAAAATATCTAGACTAAAATGACCTTGCTAAAATACTCACTTTAGTTTATATGGCCCTAACATATTGGTAAATGAATGAGACCCACCCAAAGGACTGAGTATTCTCATGGAATGTGCTCAGAGGAATGATGCCCTTGTCCATAGTCATAAGCAGCTGGCTGTCCAGGCAAATCTCCTTCCAAAACTGAACGTTGCTATAGCTTTTTACCTTTGAGAAAGGTTTGAGGTGCAGGCCTAGAGCTCATTTCCTCCTGCAATTGCTCATTCCTGTATTTTTTTCCCCTGCACATGAATACCAACAACTGAATCTTTACTTTGAAGTGTAGTGCATACACCCATGTTTGTGCCCTTTCCTACACTGGCTGAAGTAGAAATGAGCCCCAGAAGCCACCTAATCAGTCTCCCTTCCTTCAAACAGTATCAACTCTGTAATATCCTTCCTGACTGCTGCTTGAACAGCCCCAGGTTAAAAACCTCCCAGGACACCCTTCTCAGGAAAGCAGCTAACAACTATCCTTACTGTTAAGGCTATGTCTAACCTAAAGGGTTTTGCCTTAGTATAGTTCTTTCACATCTTACAGCATGTGGGAAATTAGCAAGGCATCAAATAGCAGAATTGCAAAAAAATAATAGTACAAGCCAGAATAGTACAAGCCTCATAGTTTCTACTAGCTCCTCTGCATGGATGTGTTAGGTTTACATAATATAGCAAATATAATGGCTGGTTTTTTTGAAATACATTCAGACAACTGGATGCAATACTAAATTTGAAGTATATTCAGAATACCTCAAGTAAACCACACATAAATAATACACATATTTAATATTCATATTAA